CATCCCCAGTGTTTTTTCTTGATGAGGTTATTTTTCAGAAAAGCAGTTCCCCAACCCCCATTTAAAAAGTGACACTGTGTGAGTGTGCAGGTGGTTTTCTTGAGCTCATAGTTTCCCATGACTGGATGACATGTTTTATCGTATCAGAGGCAAATTTTAAACAAATGCGAATCAGCACCAGATTTCTCCCAAAACCAAAGCTCTCCTGATGGTATCTTCACCTCTTCCTGTACCAGAGGTCACAGTTATTGGTTGATTAGAGCTATATAAGAATGTGAGATTTTAGATTTAAAAATAAGAGCAATAAAGAGTTTCTGAAAGATTTTGTTTTGGAGGACATAGAAGGTAGGTACTTGAAGGGGTCAGTCCTTGTTTATCTGCGCTATTATCTGACACTGGATAAGACCAAGTTTTGGTTACCATTGGTTGGAAGCTAACACAGTGTCAGACACATTGCAGACACCAAAATGTTACTTAAATACACAAAAGAAGGTCTACCTCAGAATTAAGCGATGCTTCATTAGATCAGATGAGTCCAAAAGTAAGTACACAAGAAGATCCACAGAAATGAAGGAAAAAATATTAGAACTTCTATTTATATTTATTTTTCTCTCATTTGTATATATATTTCACATTATATTATATTCCCACAATATTACACATGGATAATTTAACACAAATGAATAGGCATCTATTGAATACTCTTACTGAAAATAGTTTTACTGATGGGATGGTATCATCAAAGTCCTGTTTCACCACATTATTGCCCCAAAATTAGTCTCCTGTAAGTGCTGATGGAATTTACTTAATTTTTGAAAGAACATGGTAGGTATAATATGAATAGACTTCTATTATTTAAGGAATAAGAGAGGAAAATACTTGTGTGAAGAGCCAGATAGTTTGTCTTGTTTAATCACAATCCTGTGATTAAACAACAATCCTGTGAGGTAGATATCCCCATTTTACAGATTACAAAACAGAATGAGTTGAAAGTGTTTCCTATACTTCTATTTTCTAGAACAAATTATAGAGAATAGATATCATTTCTTCCTTATTTGGTATAATTCACCAGTGAAACCATCTTGTCCTTTTTGGAAGCTTATTTATTATTGATTCAGTTTTTTAAAATAAAGCTGGGAATGGTGGCACACAACTGTAGTCCCAGCTACTTGGGAGGCTGAGGTGAGAGAATCCCTTGAACCCAGGAGTTCAAGGCCAGCCTGGGAAACGTAGCAAGACACCTTCTCTTAAAAAAATAGTAAAATAAAATTATATATATGTATAAATTTATATATATAGAAAATTATATAGAAAGTTTTATATTATACATAAATTTATATATAATTAAAGCATATAATTTATATATAATATATAAACTTTTATATGATATAATATATTTTAAATTTTATATAACATTAAATTTTGATATATAAAATATTGTATATTATATAAAATTTTATATATTATGTATATAAATTATATATGTAATGGTTACATATAAAAATTCTCTATGTATAATTTTCTATATGTATTCATTTATTCCTCTCTATATATGTAATTTTCTATATATATATAACATTTATTCCTATAGGTATATAATCTTATTTTATTATTTTTTATGAGAAGGGGGTCTTGCTATGTATGTATACAAAGGAATATTATGAGGAACTCTGTCACCTATCCTGGAGTGTAGTGGCACAACCATGGCTCACTGCAACCTCGAACTCCCAGACTCAAGCGATCCTCCCACCTCAGCCTCCTGAGTAGCTGGGACTATAGGTGTACACCACAATACCTAGCCAATTTTTAAACTTTTCGGGAGATAGAGTCTCACTATGTGGCCTAGGCAGGTCTCGAACTCCTGAGCTAAAGCAACCCTCCCGCCTTGGCCTCCTGGAGTACTGTATTATAGGCATGAGTCACTGTGTCTGGCCATAATATTTATCATTTTAACACTCATGGGATTAGAAATGATGGCCCATTTTTCAGTCCTGATATTAGTAATTTGTGTCTTCTCTCTTCTGTCTTAGTTCACCTGGTTAGGAATTCATCAGTTGTGTTGATGATTGCAAGAGCAGACTTTTGATTTTGTTGAGTTTCTCTATTGTTTTCCTGTTTTTGATTTTATTGATTTCTGCTCTGATTTTATTATTTCTTTGCTTCTGCTTACTTTGTAATTAATTTGCTCTTTTTAATATAGCTTTCTAAGTGGAAGCTTAGATTATTGACTTTAGATTTTTCTTCTTTTCTAGTATATGCATTTAGTGCTATCCATTTTCCTCCAGGCACTGCTTTTGCTGCATCTCACAAATTTGATGGGTTGTATTTTCATTTTTATTTAGTTAAAAATATTTTGTATTTCTCTTGAGACTTTTCCTTTGACCCATGTGTTATTTAGAAGTGCATTGTTTAATGGCTAAATATTTTGAGATTTTCCAGCAATCTTTCTCTTACTGATTTCTAATTTAATTCCATTGTGGTCTGAGAGCAGACGTTGTATGATTTCTATTCTTTTAAATTTGTTAAGGTGTGTTTTATGGCCCACGATGTGGTCTATCTTGGTGAAAGTTCAATGTGAACTCTATAAGAATGTGTATTCTGCTGTTGTTGGATTAAGCTGTCTATAGATGTCAATTATATACAGTTGTATGGTAGTACTCTTCAATTATATTCTGCCTGCTGGATCTGCCATTTATGGACAAAGGGGTGTTGAAGTCTCCAACTACAATAATGAATTCGTCTGTTTCTCCTTGCAGTTCTATCAATTTTTGCCTCATAGATTTTCACACTCTATTGCTAGGCACTTTATTACTATGTAATGCCCCTCTTTATCCCTAGTAATTTTCCTTATTCTGAAATCTATTTTGTCTGAAATTAATATAACTATTCCAGCTATATTTTGATTAATGTTAGCATGGTATAACTTTCTGCATCTCTACTTTTACTCTGTGTTTTCACATTTAAAGTGAGTTTCATGTAGACAACATGTAGTTGGTTCTTCTTTTTTTATCCCATCTTGTTCTTTTACTGGTGCATTTAAACTATCCACATTTAAAGTGATTATTAATATAGTTGGATCAATACCTACCATATTTGTAACTTGATCTTCCCTTTCTTATTTGTTTTGCTTTTGTCTTCCACTCCTAGTCTTCTATAGTTTTAAACATTTTATACAATTTAATTTTCTTTCACTCTTAGCATATCAAAATTTTTCTGTAGTGATTGTTCTAGAGTTTGGAGTATACATTTATGAGTAATCCCAGCCCACTTTCAAATAACACTATACTGCTTCACGGGTAGTGCAGTTACCTTATAACTGATTATTCCCAATTCCTGCCTCCCATTTCTTATAACATTGCTGTCATTCATTTTCCTTATCCACAAGCAATAATCATGAATGACATTGTTGTTATTATTATTTAGAACAAAGGCTGTTATCTTTTAGGTCAACTAATAATAAGAAAAATAAAAGGTATTATTTTTTCTTCATTTATTCCTTCTCTTTATTTCTTCATGTAGAGCTGAATTTCTAACCTGTATCATTTGCCTCTCACTGAAAACTTCTTTTAACATTTATTGTAAGGCAGGTCTACTTTTTTGAAAATTAAACGAAATATTATTATACATATAGATTTTAAAAAAATAAAGCTATTCGCAGTTCTGGATTTCAGTGTTCATCAAGTTGCCAGCATAAAAAATCACTGATGCTTCATGAAGATGTCTAAACTCTATATGCTCAAATTTAAGAGTGATATGAATAATTTACTATTGAAAAAAGTAAAGATATCATGTGCATTGTTGCAAATACTGTGCTGATTTCTGATTATCTCCAGAATTGTAATTTGTAATGAAGAGAAGGCAAGAATATAGATGCTCAGCACCACTGGAAAATGATATTTCATTGTGTAAAATCTTATTGCATTCATGCTATCCAAGAAGGATTTCATTCATATTAATTAATTTGCCTTTTATCTAAGCATTTTTATCCTCAAATTCTCTTTGCACTCAAAAGCAGTGTCTGTCACAACCCACCATCCTTCATGTCACTTGGGCATGACAAACACAGAGCAACAGATGTGGAGCTTTTCCCTGGGGCTTGAAAAAGCATTAGTTGTAAAAGCAGGTATTTAGGGCTAGAGGCTTTGTTGTACCAGAGTGGAGAACCAGATCTCTAGTGACAGAGACACTGTCATGTCCACATGTTCTTTAGCACATTTATTTTTGCATGTGTTTGTTATATATGGGTCCTCTAAAGAGCTGGACTCAGGGCATAGGTCTTTTTCTCTTACATTTTCTTAAGAAAAAAAAAACTCAGCCAAAATTACCTTCATTAACAATAGACCTCCTTTCCAAGAAGAAACAGACACCTTTATATAGTCTGACCATTCGTTTAGAGCATTCATTGTTGATTTAGTGTATCTTACCTTTTTAATGACTTTTCCTGTTTTAACATGCATGAAAAGCATCCATTTCTATGCTCAATCAAATGCTGCTTCTCCAGTTACACAACAAAAAATGATTTCTTTCCTCTTCCTTCTGAACTCCCTTACCATTCATCTGAATCACTTCTGAGGTAATGAACATAGTCTGCCGTGTACGATAGTGATTTGAGTGTACACCTTTCCATTTCCACTCAATTCAGTTAACAAGTATTTATTGTGCACAAAACAAAGTACCAACCCCTATGAAGCCAAGGTAAAAAATTTAGATTGTGACTCCTTGAAGACAGGTGGATATGCCTGATGTTTGCATTGCCCAGACTTGCTTGCAGGTGACATCCATACTGTTAAAGACTATGTGCTGGGAAATTCAGTATGCCTGATTTTCAACTGATAAAACTTCAAAAATTTACCTGCTAATTTTGTTTTGAGACTATAATGGGAAATTTGAAGTGCAGTCGAAAGACATCTGTTTGCAATTTAATCTAAATAATAGCAATAATGACAATAACATAAAATCATTATGATCTCTGTGGTAATCTTTGAACTTTTTCCTCCTAGGATTTCCAGACTGTATTACCATCATTTGAGCTCTTCTCGAAGTATGGAAAATTATATTCAAAAGCTGGACAGATTGTATAAAGGTATGACTTTTTGCTAAGAAGTACTTCAAAAAGTATATTAAATAACACTTAAAAATCAAATGGGGTTGACTTAACTATCAAGCATTTTAAAAACCATGCTATAATAATATTTATATGTAATAAGACTCCATAAATTTCTTTCATTCTAGTGTAATGGTTTTCAACATTTAAAAGATAATGAATTTTACTTTTCAGATATCTTCTCCAAAGTAAGCCAAAAATACACTAAGAAATAGAACATTAAAAATCTAAAATACTCTCTTTTTTTTTCTTTTCTTTTTGAGACAGAGTCTTGCTCTGTTGCCCCGGCTAGAGTGCAGTGGCATGATCTTGTCTCACTGCAACCTCCCCCTCCCGGGTTCAAGTGATTCTCCTGCCTCAGCCTCCGTAGTGTCTGGAACTACAGGCAGTGCCACCACACCTGACTAATTTATGTATTTTTAGTAGAGATGAGGTTTCACCACATTGGCCAGGCTGGTCTCGAACTCCTGGCCTCAAGTGATCTGCCCTCCTTGGCCTCCCAAAGTGCCAGATCACAGGCGTGAGCCACCATGCCTGGCCCTTAAATACCCTTTATCTTTAACTAACACAATAAATAGTTTTACACAATACAGTGAAAAAATACTGTTGGTGCCCCAAAGCCAAAATACTTCTCAGTGCTGTCATGATACAGTATCATTTCAAATATTATACTGAATAATGTACATTATTTGAAGTATGAAGTATCTTACAATACCAAAGAAATAAATACAGAATTCTGATTATCAATGTTTACGATATATAAGAACAAAGATAACCATATAAAACTCAAGAACAAAAAATAAGCTCTCAGTGGATACTGTATTCAATTTCTAAGGCATTTTAGAATAGAGCAGTGGTTACAATTGAAGTGTGTCTAATAGGAGGTATTGTGACATTTTCGGCCAAATTTAAAGAATGTACAGGGTGAAGACAGCAAAGATCACTGCAATTGAAGGAAAGGGGCAGAAATGAGAAATCACGCAAGTTAGAATCTCCCAGCTATCCTCTCAGACCAAGAAGCAAGGAGAAAGCACCAGGCTGTTAGAAAGAGCACAGGGTAGATTCAAGGCAACGTTCCTTCAATTTTATGTTATTCTTTCCTCTCTACCCACTGAGTGCTTCAACTTGGAAGTTAATATGTTAAATGCAGATACCAGTGTCTTACCTTTTAGCTACTCTGAAGGAATACATGAGGGGAAATATGAAATATTCTGAGCTAATAGAAAATGTATATATAAGACCAACTGGAATCGCCGTTTCCAAGGTTTATAAAGTATCATTACCCATTGGAGCATTTATCTGGTATTTGAGAGCCAGAGTATGAAGTAATGTAAATAAAATGTCTCATATTTGTGTGTAACTTCAGCTTTTAACTCAAAGATATATCAATTCTGTTTATGATGATGAAAGATTGAAAATAACTTTAAAATAACTTGTAAGTTAGCTAAATAATAAAACACATATAAGGCAGTACTATGCAGACAGTAAAATGTTATAAATCTTTACCCATTAATTAAAAAAAATGCCTATAATGTATTTCTAGGAAAAGAAGGCTGGATTCAAAATATGCTGTGTAGTCTTATTTCACTTAAATATATATATATGTCTGTGTGTATACATACATATATACATGTGTATATGTATAAAAACACACTTGCACACACTTATATTTAGTATGTCTATGCATACATTTGTATGTTGCAAAAATGTTAATGGTGGTTATCTCTGGGTGGTGAGATTATGAGTACTTTTTGTGGGATACTTCTTTTTATTTCTGTTTTTTGATGTTTTAATGCAACCAGATGAAAGCCAAGTATTAAAACAAAACACTCCAGTAGGGACTGTTTGATCTACTCTACCAATTACAAAAACATCTTGACTTTATTCTATTTAATCATAATAATTTAGAGGCAATTGTCTTTTTTTCTTGAAGATGAAATAATTACTTGCTAAATTATTTATACAGAAAGACAAAGATGAGTAACAAATGGTGTACATTATTTCTAATTAAAAAGAATGTGCAATGCAAAGACACAAATATGTTAATGGATTTTTTTAATGTTTGCTAACTCTTCTTTTGGATTTTTAACAATTTTGTGAATTGACAATATTATAAAAACGTCATCTCCTTTTCTTTGATAGGAAATGAATGTCTAGTGTTTAATTTTGGTAAGTGAAGGGCAGCAGCCTTAGCTGAGGCTCTCCTATTAAGATTTAATTTCACCAAATACAACAAAGTGCTTCTGCTCTTTGTAAAAAAAAAAAAAAAAAAAAATAAAAAAGTATGTGGGGGACACTTGCACCAAACTGTTGAATAAAGATGCCATAGTAATTTTTAGAGCTATCTATTTGATTGCTTCAGCTTCAAGGTAGTTCATCACTTCACTATAATTCACCCGACATTGCCTTTTACACCCAATACTACATTTTCCCATCAGTCCGATTAGAAATAGTGATGCCTTTATCAGATTAATCTTTCTTTCTTTTAGCATGTCTGAGTTTAGGATAAACACTGCCTGTACCTAGCTGTTATCATTAATGCTCTAAGATTTAAACCACTGAAAAATACACAGAACTAGATCTTCAATACACACACCTGTTAAAATCTACTGTCTGACTAGGATAACATTACTCCTTTTAGTGTCTTTAATTTGTCTTTTTAAATGGTCACTATTTGTAACTTTCAGTAGTTTCCCAAAAGCAGTTTGGTCTAAATCAGAATGTGCCATGTGCTGTCAAGAGTGCTTTGCCATCCTTTTAGCGCCATTTATTTTTCCAGGCAGAGTCTCTTTAAACATTGTTGTGGAGAAAAATTAGCAAGATAAGGTTAAAATCATTGGTTAGAATTTTATGAATTGGATAATGTACCCGATTCGGTCTGGCATCAATGTGAGTTTTCCTACATTATAGGCTGCTCAACTTCCTCCAGTTCGTCTTTGCAAAATGGGCTTTGGTCCAGGCTGTTTTTCTGCTAAAAAGTGGTTCAATTTTGAGGCCCAATGAGATGAGTTTTAATTAAATTACTTATTAGGTTTGAAAAACAATGTGCTTTTTCTCCTTTTCTATAGGAATTTGGCAGATGAACAACTCAGCTAAAACAAATAAATAAATAAAATGAAAAATAAGTATAGTTAGCACCTGGATTGGGAAAGGGGTTAAATGCCATGGTCTTTTTTTCCAGAGGGAATAAGATCTTAGCAACTGTGTAAGGTAAACAAGTTCTATGAGGGGAGAGTAATAATTAAGCATATAAGTTATATGTGTGCCTGTTAGGAGTTAAAATTTTAGTTTAATAAGAAAAATTATTAAATTTTGTCATTCAGTTTGGCATCATGTGAACTTATAACCCTTTTAAGTTTTGGCGTAGTGAATTGGCAAAGAGAAAAGAATAAAGGCATCTTCAGCGTCCTTCTCTTGGTTAAATTGTGTTTGATTCAGAATGTTATAACCACCCCACCTACCTGTATGAAGATGTTTTGCTGTGGTTTTCCATAATGGAGGCAGATTTGCCAGATATGCCATGTGTTCAGTGACACACATAATCAAGACTGGCTTTTTTGTTTATGGTTTTTGGTTTGTTTGTTTTTGTTTTTTTCAGAGACAGGGCCTCACTCTGTTGCCCAGGGTGAAATGCAGTGGCGTGATCACAGCTCACTGCAACCTCTAACTCCTGGGCTCAAGTGATCCTCCTGCCTTAGCCTCTTGAGTAGCTAGGATTACGGGTACATGCCCCTATGCCCAGCTAATTTTTTAATGTTTTGTAAAACTGGGATCTCGCTATGTTACCCAGACTTGATCGTGATTGTTCAAGAAGATCTGCAGTAGTGTAGATGGAGAGCAGAGAACAGGGCTAAAAATGAGTCAAGTCTGGGGCCATGACCTCCTGACATTAACTGAACTAAAGCTAAGAGAGGAAGACTTAAATAGAGAATTTAAGAACTTGTGTTTCTGAAGTTCTTTTTTTTTTTTTTTCATTTTACTGTTTTGTTTTCAGAAAACAGAAGATGAAATATAAAACTGAGATTAAGGTGTGAAGTGAGTGTGAATAGAAGACCCCCCTGACTGGAGTCCTGGATTCTTCCATGACTGAGGAATGACCTTGAATCTCTTAATCGCTCTAGTTTTCTCTCTCTTAAGTGTCAGAAGAAGAAACTGAAGCCATCTGCATTTTAAAACTTAACAGTTCTGAAAGGAAAACACAGATGAAACACATATACTTGCTATGATTCAATAAACTATAAACTTTTCTAGCTCTAGTCATGAATTAATTATTGTGTGTATGTATTTGAAATCTCTTAGACATATATTTTCAAACAAATACTTAAACTTGAGTCTTTTACCTCTGAGAATGTCTGTGACAATCACAGCCCTTGGTGACCAACAGTGCCATAAATGGTTCCCCTGAAGTACCCATATTCTGACCCCATCACCTGGGTCACAAATGATGAGACCAGTGTTGAGTACCCAAATTAAGGGTGACTAACATGAAAGTTGGATGATGAATGGTTTGAAGTGTAAATTGTGTGAACTAGTTCAGCATAAAAGCTCTGCCCTGAGGAATAATGACTGATTAGACCAATTAGAAACCCCTCAGACTGTTGAACTTGAGGCACACAGACGCAACAGACACAGACTAGTGGGTGTAGGAGCAGAAACACAGGCACTCTTAAATGGAGAAGACATTTGCAAGTCTCTGCTGCCAAGGGAGCAAAGAGATAATCTGGATGCCAGGGCTGTGTGAGATCCTGCATGGCTCTGAACTACAGTTGGTTTCCAAAAAGCTGGGCTTTTGTGAGGTTTCTGTTTTTTATGCGATGCTTAGATTTTTCCTGGAATCCTTGGAAGTTAACTCAACATTTGAGGTTCCTTTATCCTTTAATCCCATCCCTTGTGTATCCTTACAATAAAACTTCCTGCTAGAGGTAGCCTGAGGGAATCTTTGTTTCTTGTATCTGAAGAGAATAACACTAAACTTATTGCATATGATTTTGGGGTTGGATCCAATGATAGCACACAGGGACAGGAAATGTGATTTATTGATCATAAAAGCTTTAATTTAAAATTGCTGGCCAGTGAGATCCAGACTCTGGGAAGTGTTATAGGCCAAATGATCTGTTTCTTCAACAAATAAATTACAAAACTGAGGGGGAAAAAAGGAACCTATTAAAAAGACATTATCTATCAATCACTGTGTGTGTACAGTTTTGAGCTCCTGATTTAAATAAACAAATTGTAAAATAAAAGATCTTTTGAAACAATTGGAAGTTTGAACACTGATTGGATACTGGTGGTATAAAAGATTATCTTTTTTTTAGGTGTCATATGGTATTGTTTTGGTTTACAAAGTTATAGAGATAAATGTTGAAATATTTGCAGATGCATTGATATGATGGCTGGGATTTAATTTGAAAGTCAAAGAAGTGAGTGGAAACACGTATACTTCCCCTCTTATAATGTGGTTATGTCCCAATAACTCCATTGTAAATTGAAAATATCCTGTTGAAAATATTGTAAGTTAAAAGCACTTAATACAGCTAACTTACCAGACAGCTTAGCTTAGCCTCACCTACCTTAAATATGCTCAGAACACATACATTAGCCTATAGTCGAGCAAAATCATCTAACACAAAGCCTATTTTATAATATTGAACAACCCATGTAATTTATTGAATATTGTACTGAAAGTGAAAAATCAAATAGTTGTATGCATACTCAAAGTATGGTTTCTATTGAATGCATTGTAAACCAAAAAGTGTCTGAGACACGTCTCTTTTTAAAAAAAAAACATTTATGAGACAGTCTTATTCTGTCACCCAGGTTGGAGTGCAGTGTTGTGAACTCAGCTCATTGCAACTTCCACCTCCCAGGCTCAAGCAATCCTCCCACCTCAGCCTCCCAAGTAGCTGGGACCACAGGCATGGACCACCATGCCTGGCTAAATTTTTTGTACTTTTGGTAGACATGGGGTTTTACCATGTTATCCAGGCTGCTCTTGAATGCCTGAACTCAAGCGATCTGCCTGCCTCGGCCTCCCAAAGTACTAGGACTACAGGCATAAGCCACCTGAACCCAGCCCTAAGACAAGTCTCAATTAGTTTAGAAGTTTATTTGGCCAAGGTTAAGGACATGCCCTTGACACTGCCCCTGTCAGTACAGGTCCTGACAGCATGTGCCCAAGGTGGTCAAGCTATACAACTTGGTTTTATACATTTTAAGGAGACGTAAGACATCCATAAATACATGTAAAATGTACATTGGTTCAGTCTGGAAAGGCAGGATGACTCAAACTTGAAACAAGAGGGTAGGGGTGGGAGGATGTGGGGGATGCTTCCAGGTCATAGCTGGAGTCAAAGACCTTCCAGTTGGCAATTGGTTCAAAGAATTTATCTAAAGGCAGTATCTGGGTTAAATAAGGGGACCAAGGTTCTCATTATGCAGATGAAGCCTCCAGGTGGCAGACTTCAGAGAGCATAGATTGTAAATGTTTCTTATCTGACTTAAAAAGGTGTCAGACTCTCAGTAAATTATCTCCTGGATCAGTGAAAATACCTGAAAAAAGGTTCTCTACAGAATGTAGATTTTCCCCATAAGAGATAGCCTTGCAGGGCCGTTTCAAAATATGTCAAAAAATATATTTTAGGGTAAAACACTTCAATTTCTTTCAAGGCCTGATATTTGTCATGTGATGCTGTACTATATTCAGGCTGCAACTTGGTATCTTATTGATATGAAAAATCTTAAGATCTCTATTTTAATGTTAATGCTGGTCAGTGGTGCCTGAATTCCAAAGGGAGGAGGGTATAATGAAGCACGTCCAATTCCCCATGCCCTGCCCCCACCCCCACATCCCATCGTGGCCTGAACTAGTTTTTCAGGTTAACTTTGGAATACCCTTGGCCAAGAGGAGGGCCTCATTCAGATGTTTGGTGGGGGGAGGGGGGTCTTAAAATTGTATTTTTGGTTTACAGCGTATTGCTTTTGCACTATTATAAAGTAAAAAAAATCATAAGTCAAGCCGTCATAAATAGAGGACCATCTGTAGATATGAAGGAAGATTAACCAAGACTTGGTTATTGTTAAAGCTGATGATTGGCTATACGAAGATTTATTATACACTTTTGTGTACTTTTGTAAGGTTTTGGTTGTTTCTAAACTTAGAACAAAATAAGTAATCGGCCATCTTCATTGGATTGTGAAGGCATTTCCTCCCACAGGTTTGTATAAATGGCAACCATGTCCCCTAATTGAACCAGGCATGAATGGCCTTCATTGATTTTGTAGACGCTGACCTTCTCTGTTCTTCCAGAGAAGGTGGTACTCAGGTAAAAACTTCTAAGCATTTTGTTGTTCAGAATATGATTTTGATCTTCTCATGAGACTCAAGTTTTTGAGTGCTTAAGGCTCTTTATTGCTAGTGTATGTAAGTAATATCATTGTCCTTAACCACCATCTGCCTCTCCCCCCAGACACACATAAGTTTATGATAACTACAGAGGTGTCCAGATGAGTAAAAACTGCCTTTGCATTAAGGTGAGAGAAGATCAAGATGAAATCTTCTTGGAAAATATAACTGGGGAAAGTAGTTTGTCTCTTTCTCCTGGAAAACTACTAGACTACATCAACTTACATACTTCTTTTCTATATTCTCAATATGAGCCACTTAAGAAAATTAATGACACCTTATGTTTGACCAAAACTGGTAATTCCTTGATGTTATTCTCCAAACTTGATTCTGAATGTCTACTGACCACCAAAAACACTAAGAGTACCACTGTGGATGTTTAAAGGCATATACCTTAAGAGCCTTCAGAATTAGATGCTTCAGTTCTTCTGAAATCAAAAGTCATATCAGCTTTGCTGTAGTTAATCAGGTAATACCTTTCTTCTCCACTGCTCTCTAATTTCTTTGAGGGCGAATACTGTCTTTCTTGATAAATGCCCTGTACCCAACATCTAACAGAGTACCTGGCATAAAGTGAAATCCATTGAATGTGTTAATAATAAATAAATAAGTTCAAAAAATCTTTTAATAGAAGCTATAAACTAGCAGATAAGCAAAGTCATTCTCATAAAACACCATTTGTCATTTGAATGCATGCATCGTGGCCTGTTATTTTTAACTAGTCTCACTAATTTATAGTTATACATGATGTAGATCTAGATTGTGATATACACTAAGTGGGTTGATCCTGAGATCAATCTATGATTGCTGCTTGGGTAAAGTGTTCCTTTTGGGAAATAAATAATCTTTCATATCTGTAAACTTTAGTATAATTGGTTATTTATGCAATGTATTGTTGTGGTCGTCAACTCAAGATTGTATTCTCATCTGGGGACATTATGAATCTTGTTATTTTATCCCCATTTTTGCTCTGTTTTTTCACATTTATGGCTTACCTGTTACAGCTGCATGGTATCCATTTTCTGTGCTAAATTCATCTTTAATTTATTATTTTTTTTAACCTCAGCTTTTCTTTTAACTTTGCCCTGATTTTCTCTTCCATTTTATTTTCACCTCCATTTTAGGAACAATAATTTACTAAATTATATGAACCTATTTGAGATAATGATGATGCCTGGGAAGGGGCAGTATTGCTGGATCAGAATTCACTTTTTCCAAGTTACAGATTTTAATAAACCAAAGCATTAGGATAAATTTTTATTGAAAATTGAGTGAATGACTGAACAAGTCACTGGGGAATGCTGTTTAGGTTGCTCTATTTTCCATGGATTAAATTAAATTCTACTTAGCTAGTGTCTCTGAGCTTATTTAAAACCACAACTCATCACATCTTTTGTGTTACATCTTCAGCTACCTTGCAGTGTTTAGTACTGCCAATGAAAAATTTCAAATGAGAGTAATGGCGTTAATTTGGACTGACATGGGAATAGTTATTTAGTGTGTCCTAGAAAGAGTGAAGAGTGCACCATGACAAGCACATACATGTTCATGACTCTCATTTTGTAATTCAAAGCTTTTTCCTGTGGGAATGGAGTGAAATTCAACTTGATCTGGGGCTTGGACTTTGCCTGCTCCTTTTGAGGCTCAGTGTCCCCAGCAGGCTCCCTCACAGGGCACAGTAGGGGACTGCTAAGCACTCTTCCATTTCTAAATATTTCAACTCATTAATGCGGGAATCACCTTGCTGCTGGTACTGGCAGGTACAGTCACTTACCAGTACATTGAGTTGAGTTTATAGTTCTCAGCTTCATAGTCATGATCATGTGATGCAGTGAGGCAGTTCATTAGCACACT